GCGCGTCCGCCAATTCTTTCTTGAGGTCGCACAAATCCTGCTCGTGATTTTCTATGACCGTGACCGCAGCGTCCATCTTATCTTCGAGGTCGTTCGAGGTCGTTCGTCCGGTTGCCCAACTTGCGAATCTCCTGCGAAAGACGGTCGGCCAGCTTGGAGGTAGCGGAGGACAACTCGGACTGCAGCATACATTTGAATCGGCGCAGGAGCTCAGCATCCCGCAGAGAAGGGATGGGAGACTGCAGAGATGGCTCTGGTGCCAGGTCCTCCACACACTGGCCACTGCCAGGGTCCGACCTACCTATGGATGGTGACAGCGGGGGACCCAAAAATCGCGGCTGGGGCTCCATCTGAGGTCCGGGCGAGAGCCGCGAATCCGCGGCTGGGATCCTGGAAGTCCGCGGCCGGCCCAAAATTGAGGCCCCCGGCTTCAAGCCCGCGATCGCCGGCGGGTAGGCCGCAAACTCCGGAGCAGCCTGCCGGGAGCTGGAGGCATGGGCGGCCAGCGTTTTTTTTTTTTGCCCATCAGGGCACTGGAGAGACAGGGAGACAGGGAGGAAACAGGGGGACCCCCCCCTGAGGAGTGAAAATCGGCCGGCGGCCGAGGAGTTAACTTAGGAAGCAACCATCCTGGTTGCTGCTCACGAGCGCCCCCTGGACATTTTTTTTTTAAGTAGGTGGTGAACTGAACCAAGCTCCAGTATGATTCAGTGCATTAGCAATGCCAATATATATGGAGGAGAGAGCACCTCTCTTGTATACAGTGCCAATAGCGATCACTCGTCGAGGGTTTGTGTGCAGAATTGCCGTAGTCATATACCAAAAGTACTGAATTTTACAAGATTTCTCATTCTATAGCGTATAAAGAGAGATTTTTTGCTGCCTGAGACCACACAACCTGCCAAGCCTCTAGAGTCAATTCCACCACCAGGGCCAATTTTCCAATTTACTCATATATGAAAGTTTCCCTAATGATTGCATGGGCCACTATGCTTCTAACTGTATAACACATGCTCATCATCAGTAAAAGAGCGTCAATGTCCATCAGGAGTCATGTGTTAGGTGGTGGCAAAACTGGCCTAGTGTTTTCAGTAAACATCTTTCTTGTTAATCTCATGGGCCTACTTTGCTCTGGGCTCAGAGTTTTTGGCTGTTTGGCTAGGGGCCTACAAGTTCTTGTATGACAGTGGGCTTATAGGAGCTGGAAGGGGCTGGCTGTATTAGGTAGTGCGCACAGGGGAAAATCAGGGGAATTTCAGTGGCTTTATGCCCTAAAAAGAGAAGCTGGTGCTCAGAGAGAGAATCCCCTACAACTATCACTAGGGTTGAGTTTTACCTTTAGGCACTGTAAGCCAGGGGTAATTAAGTGGCTTTTAGTTATATAAATGTATATCATCTACACATTTTTCTCATGCGTAGAAAAAAGTTGCCATATATACTGTAAGCTTGTTTACACACAGTCATATTTTAAGCTATGTTAACCAGTAAACAAAAAATATTTGGTGTCTCTAAGCTACAGTGATGGAAACGTGGCCTACCTTAGGTTACAACCAACATCTGCATCAGTGCATTTAGCTGTCTTCCATTAAATGTAGAACAGTGGCCAAGCAATTCAATGCCATTCATATGCCATTGTTCTGACTGCTCTAAACTGTGTGAAATCTGGTTGGTATGGGTCTTGTAGCATCCTTTTCCTCTTTATCGTTGCTGTTTTATTAACATGTCTGCTGGCATGCTTTTGGCACCTTTAATCTAATCATTTTTAATTCTCAGCAGACATGGTTTATCCCTCATCTCTATATATCATTAAACTGTATAGCAGTATAACAGTTCCAAACAGTCAGGCCCAGCTGAGATGTGTAATTACACATTAGTCACAGTAATTTACTAGGCTATATAGAAGTGTGTTCCAGCACAGGTGGGAGTAACACTAATTTGACATCTACCATATGTCAAGCAATCCCTACAGTGCCCATTATTAATATGCTGTTAGACTTCAGTTCCATATGAGCCTTAGCCTGCCCAGCACAACTCTTTATTATTGGTGAACTATAGTAGCCATGGCCTAGGTGTTTTAACTGAGTTATTATTTATATCATATTAAATTAAAATGTGTGAAACCCCACATTGAGGAAAAATTTAGTCTAATCAGCTCAGGTATACTATCTGTAAATTTGTTTTGGGGACAGGAGTTGGGTCACATCATACTTTTCACATTAAACCATGTAATTTTTAGTCCTCGACACTGGCAGAGCTAGCACTATGGGGTTTATTTACTAAAGCTGGAGAGTCCAAAATCAGACTCCCTTCTGCATAGAAACCAATCAGCTTCCAGGTTTCATTGCCAAAGCTTCATTGAACAAGCTGAGGTTAGAAGCTGATTGGTTTCTTAGTAAATAAACCCCTATGTGTCTGAGAAAAGTAATTGCGCTATCACATTGTTCCTAAAAAATATGTTTCCCAAATGGTAAGTAGACCTAAAATAGCATAAATGTAAAGTCAAAACTGTATCATAGGCCATAGATACAGAAAATGCATGTTTTCACTGTGCCTGGTCTTTTGGTGCTTAGTCTTGGCATTGTCATAGAGAATAACAGCCATAAGGTTTTGATATTGGCAAATGTTCATTGGATGGATATTATTCACAATGGCTGTGTTTAAATCTATTCAGCTGGACTGGAGATAAATACTGCCATGCACTACATAGGATGAGGGCAAGGAAAGGAAGCATAATGTAGAAGGTGAGCTTGGCCAAACAGAACAAATCAAATAGAAGTAGTTTTCTTTGAAGCACACTGGTTGTATGGAGGCTTCTACTGTTGACTGCTTTCTTAAAATACTAGTTGTTTGCACTGACTAGTTTCAAAACTTTGTGCCACAGACCAGAATAGACACACCAAAAATGAGTGAGTCAGATTCAAGGACAAAGAAAGCGTTGAAGTGAAAGCATCAGCATGGACAGTCAGGAAACTAACATATGCAATGGCAGCTTACATAATTCTATCATGAGAGGTGTACTTTAAAAATGTTCTGCTTATTTTTCAAACTCCATGTTCACAAACACTATGTTTCCTCTATTCCTGTTATTCAATAGAGTATTGATTACAACTATTGAGTATTGAACTACGCTGTCTCCCTCTGTCTTTTCATAGTCAGAACTGATGCTGTGGATAGCTAAAATTCCCCTGTCTTTTCCCTTGGAGATAGTTGCTATGTTTACACCACGCTGCATTGTTCAGTGGCGTTCCAGGCATTCTCTAGCTGTACTGCATACCAGAAACTCCTCCTGTACACATTTAGCCCTGTTATAAATCACAAGTCATTACCTAACCGCTGCAAATGTTCACTCCAAGTCAAGTGCTAATCAGAAACCTTTAGCCAAATGTTACAAATGACAAATGAGGAAATGTCATACAAGTAGCTAAATCTCATTCACATATGCACAGCAAACGACTGCAAATTGATTTGTGCAGCACATTTCTCTTACGATATAAAGTCATTTACATAAATTGAGGTAGATGTACTGCTTTTTTTAATTCAGTTTTTATGTTCTACATTCCTCCTGTGTTTTTTTTCTTTCTGTTTTTAATTAGTAGATTAGACTCATGAACATTATGCTACTATCAGGTATATGTTTGCTTTTCCTTCATAAAAATTGCATTAGGGTGACAATCTGACTACTTAAAGTCATACTATAGGCATTTTTTTTGTAAATAATAAACATGTTATACTTACCTGCTCTGTAATGGTTTACACAGAGCAGCCCCAATCCTCCTCTTTTTGAGTCCCCTACCAGCGCTCCTGGCCCTTCCCTCCTGTCGGGTGCCCCCATAGCAAGCAGCTTGCTATGGGGGCACCCGAGCAGGCATGCTCCCGAGCTGCTGCCCCCTGTGTCCATTCACACATGGAGCCGCAACTTGGCCCCACCCCCTCTCTCCTCATTGGCTCACTGGCTGTGATTGATAGCAGTGGGAGGCAATGTTTCCCACTGCTGTCTCAGCCAATGAGGAGAGGGAGTCCCTGGATAGCCGAGGCTCCAGTGCACATCACTGGATCAAGAGGGGGGCTTAGGTGAGTATTAGGAAGGGCTGGGGGGGGGGGGGGTTTGCTGCACAGGGAAGGTTTTTTTTTTTTACCTTCATGCATAGAATGCACGGTAAAAAAATTTCAGCCTTTACAACCACTTTAATTTTCATGCTAGACTATTTAGACCAATAAAATAAAAGCAGAACATATGTTTTTATGTTTCTAAGAATTTAAATATGAATATCATTTTAATGGCGGGACATATCTCATGAAAAGATTAATGTAATGTGTAATAAAAAAACAAGTACAGTTTCATCATCTTTTCAGATTTAAAAAAATGGATTTAACAGTTTATGCATTGAAGCAGCCTGCAGCATTATTTTGTGTTCGTTCACTTTTATTTTTACCAAAAAAAGGCTTTGCACAGATGCCCTAAAAGTAACTACATTTATATACATGTGCAGCATGACCTATTTTGTAAGCTATTCTTTTGTGCACATAAAGACATTTTACAAAGTATTTTGCACACACCAGTGCCTGTGCTACGCCTGACAAACCATTTGGTAGCAGCTGTCGACAAGTGTTTGGTGCAAAATTTGCATTGCATTGCAAATATTAAGCCCCCAGTTTATTGAATGCTTCTTCACTGACTATGGGGAATTGTGCCTGCATTAACTGCTACCTTAGGGTTTGTGTGCAAAAACAAAATTCCATTTTTTTCTCTGATTGTGGTTATAATTTAAGTTGTACTGCAAAAATACTTTAGCAATACATGTTCTTCCTTTTTCCCAATTGTTTACATTTAAATTAATTTACATTATTATGCACTGCAGGGGAGTTCCTTTTTATAAGATATCAACTTAAGCTGAAGCATCTGAGGCAGTTTGCAGCATTTTCATGATTTACAGAACTGTTGGTTCAGCTAACAAAGCAGCTACCACGATTGGTAAATTTATTAAAGGAATTTGACTTACCAGTTCAACTCTTCCAAATCCTCCAACACCAAGTGTGTCAATGATGTTAAAGTCCGTAAGTTTGAGATTGCCAAAGAACGCTGCCTCCGCTTCATATCTGTATTTTTTGATGAAAAAAAAACAAAAGCTTTTTAGAAGACTGAGTATGTGAAGTGACTTTGAGGGAACCAGAAAAGTTTTTCATGATTTCCACATAAGAATAAATGATTCTAGGTTGATCCATCCACTTGCAGCATCCTATTCAGCCTTTTGTTATGTGTTCTCATTAACAGTCTAAAAAAAGGTTTCATTTCAGAGTTACATGGTGGCCAACCTTCATATGCCACTAATTTAGAATTCTTTCCAAGAGTTCAGACATTTTGTAAATGAGTTAGAAATTTTAGGAGTACAAGGTTGGTTTTGATTTGTGCACATATGTCAGTTATTCCACTTGAAACACTTTTTTTCCATATGTATCCAAGTCTGAAAGATGCTTTCATGCAGTCCTCTCTAGTATTATCTGCTTCTTTATGCTGACACTATGCTGTGGATTCACTTTGTAGTATATGCAGCTTCAAGTGCTAAGAGCTTGTGTGTCTGTCCCAGAATGACTGCTTCAGGACTAGTCAGTATAAAACTCCTAAAATATCTCAATGAGCAATGCGATATATTTAGTATAAGGATAATCTGGTACCTCCCACCTACTAACAGCACTGACCGTGGTGCTAGTCGTACATATTTCCTTTAAAAGACTTTGATGTATATACATATAGACAGCATATGACCATCAGGAATTCTTTACTGAACATATGGAAAGATCATCACATGACAACAGTCTGCTAAGAATAGGTACCAGGAATACACACGTGTTTCCACTAGATGGCCTTTAATTCTTTGCAAAGTCCAGATGATTTCCCACATTTATTTTTTGATGTTACAACTTATGTCACTCTCATGGTAGTAAATGCAAACCTGTTTGTAATGATTAACTTTAGCTTATCGGAATAAAAAGTATAAGCCCAAACAGGGGCGGACTGGCAACTCATGGGGCCCCCAGGTAATAGGGGATCATGGGGCCCCTGTGTCCTCACCCACACTCAAACCACACCCAAAACAGCCTATGAAAGATACCAGGGGCATCTCATGGGGCCCCCTACTGACCCTGGGCCCTCGGGCAGTGCCCGAGCGCAAGAATGGTCAGTCCGCCCCTGAGCCCAAATACTATAAACAGAATCCAGGCAGATCTGGAAAATGACTATGGAATTAGCCTGTTCTCAAAAGGCATATATATAGGCAAACGTTTTTCATTTAAGTTTTGCTAGGACTAATGAAGAGAATGAATCTCCCCAGTGGGGTCATAAAAAACTGAATTCTCAACCATTTACTTTGGTATTGAAAACAGTGCAATGCTAAGGAAGGATGGGGGGGGGGGGGGGATTGTGAACTCGGCCAGGGAAGATGCGGCCATCTGACATCTTTTTTTAATTGCACAGTACTGAACATCTCTGTTGACATGCAGCTGAAGCACCCTCAACTGGGGGATATGGGGTCTCTGTGCTGGGAATTCTGTACAGAGGGGTCTGTGATGGGGTGGGGGGCTGGAAGGGTTATTTAGGAACATTAGGGGGGTTTACTGCTGGGGGAATCTGTACTGAGGGATCTGTGTTGGGGGAGATGTCTGTTCAGAAGGGTCTGTGCTGGAGGTTTTGTCTGTATTGATGGTTTTGTGCTGAAGGGGCATCTCTACTGAGGGGTCTTTCTGGGAGGGTCCATCTTTGCTGAGCGGGTCAGTCTGTACTGAGGGGTCTGTCTGTACTGAGGGGTCTGTGCTAAGAGAGTTAATTTGTGCTGAGGAGGTCAGTCTGTACTGAGGGGTCTGTGCTAGGAGGGTCCAGCTGCACTGAGGGGGTCCGTGCTTGACGGTTGGTCTGTGCTGGAAGTGGATCAGCCTGTGCTTGGGGGTCCATCTGTACTGGGGAGTGGAGTCTGTACTGAGGGGTCTGTTTCAGGGGGTATGACTATATTTAGGGGTCTGTGCTAGGGTAAGTCTTTACCCCTGGGAGAGGGGGATTTAGGGATGTTGGGGGAGACCTGTACTTTGCGGAGTATGGGCTTGGGCGGTATTTGTACTAGAATGATGGGTTCATTTTGGTTGTGATTTGTAAAATGGCCTTTGTGTTACACACTCCTACCCCCTGCACTATAGACACTTATGGGAATTTATTAAAACTAGAGCAGACAGAATATGGAGCAGCTGTGCATAGCAATCAATCAGCTTTTAGCTTTTATTTTCAAAGTTTATCTGAAAAAGTTGAAAATAGAAGCTGACTGTACCTTTTTCTCCTTGATAGAAGGAAAATGTGTTTCTAAAAAAATCTGATAAAATATAAAAAAGCTAGATCAGGGTTTTTTTTAGGTCAGTGATGGCAAACTTTTTAGAGACTGAGTGCCCAAACTGCATCCTAAATCCCACTTATTTATCGCAAAGTGCCAACACTGCAATTAAACCTGAATACTGAGGATTTAGTTTAGAAAAAATAACCCATCCAATAACATCTTTTGTCTTAAAATAGAAACACAATAACAGAGCTTCCTCTGACCACCAGCACAAGGGGGCAAAGTTCCACTGACCCCAGCACAAAAGGGGGCAATGTTCCAAAGTTGCACTGACCACCAGCAGAAACTAAAATCTTGTGTTAATAAAAACGAATGTATTAAAACTCACAGCCAGTCCTATATATATATATATCCTTGGCAGCGCACTGACCAGCCATGCGTAAGCTTGGACGAGTCACGGCTAATGAGCTGTGGCCCATGACATCATTGCCTGGTGCCGCTACTCCTTTCTGGTCATGCGCATGGCCCCTATGTGCGCTGTTATCTGATGCTCAGCTTCTGGAGCAATGTTGGGGCGACTTGGCTCGCGTGCCGACATAGAGGGATCTGCGGCACACGTGCCATAAGTTCACCACCACTGCTCTAGGTCAATGTCAAGGTTAGAGTTAGAGTCAATATTAGGGTAAAAAAAATCATGGTCTCTGACTCAAAGGTCAGGGTCAGATGTCAGTATCAAAGGTCAGGGTCAGTGCATTTTTGGTAGGATTAAGCAATTTTAAAATTTATTGTCAGTGTGTACTGAGCACTATTGTTTCTAGGCCCTACTATGGTTACAGACAACAAATAACATACACATATGTGGTATCGCTGTTATCATCAAGTACAGGATTTACAGCTAATTTTTTTTAAAACTGTTTTGTGCCAGTTTTCTTTTGATTGGGATAAATCCATTGTCATTGTACAACACATGAATGCCCAATTTTCCCTGAATAAACAAGGTCTACATCTGGATACCCTAAGTAGTTATGATGATATGTACAGTTTTACTAAGACATGTCAAAGTTGGAAAAATGTGTTCAGAAGTTAAGATTTGTTTTACCTTTGTCACAAAGGGGTTAAGGTAAGGTGTGGGACAATTTCATTTTAGTACAAAGGTGTGTACATGTCTGCTACACTCTTGCTTGCACAGTCATTAAAGCATATTTTGTGGCTAAAAAGACTTTAGCATGTGTGTGATTAACATATACGGGATAGGTTCAGGTTCTATTTACCTATGTCCATTTAAGTCCCTCCTACTGTTAGAGCAATTTGGACACACACCCACAATTTTTATGCAGCATGCAAAGCGCACTAATTTATTTACCATTTTTTCTTGGGGAGGGAACAGTGTGCAAAAAAATTATTAGTTCAGATGTTGGGGATTCAAAACAAAAAAAGGGATGCTTCAAGTTACAGTTTATTGTGGATATCCAAAAAAATTTTGTTCCCCTTTAAGGAGTGCCTGGAAAATGTCATTCAGTGTCCATATCAAAATAAAAAGGTAAAATAATCCACTGATTCAAAACAAAAAAGGGATAAAAAAAATATTCAAGTTACAGTTTGATTACTGGATATCCACTGATGAATTTTACAGTTCCCCTTTAAGGAGAATGCCGGAAACTTTCATTACAAGTGGTTTAGCAGGTCCTTGGTCAGGGAAAGCAATGCCAAGTACATAAAACTAATAAAGTATCTTTATTAGGTTTTTAAATAAAGTTTAGTTGTTTGTAATGTCCCTTTTTCTGAAAAATAGGGAATTATGAAAAACAATTGCATAAAGCTTTAAAAAAAATGCTGATTACACTGTTCAACAAATTTTATTTTTTGCCAGTTTTGGAAACAAAATGATCCATTTCTTAATGAATTTCACATTCTGAGTTCAATATAACAATGAAATTTGTCAATTGGCTCTAGTTTTTACTGTAAACGGAAAGTTTTCTACTATAGGCGTAATGACTACATAATGCACAATAATTATATAGATAGATGTCTTTCCACAAATATAAAGCAAGTGAATTGACTACATAACAAAGCCTAAATGGCATAATATATTGCATAGGATTACCAAAGAAAAATTATAGCCATAAGCTAAGTTGAATCATTTTAATACTTAGGATTCTCACTAGTTTTTGTCTTCAGTTTGTGTCGGTTTTGCTTCTCTTGGCTTTTCTCTTGTATTCGAGGAAAGGGCTATCTTTACAACTGTCCAGCAATAGTCAGCAAGCATTGATGGGCTCCATTTACCTTGATATCTTCTTTCCATAGCTGCAATGTCTTGATGGAAGCGCTCTCCGTGTTCATCAGGCTCCACAGTTTGGTGGGAAAAAATCCAGATGCGAATGTAGAAAATGAATTTTTTAGAGACATGTTGCAACCCAGATTTCTGTAAGTCTGGATGAGTTTTTCTAACTTTCTTGTAGTCTGGTGTTTTATTGTTTCCAAAATAATTTGATGTCACTGATACAAATGCTGTCCAGGCAGCCTTTTCCTTTCCACGCAACAGAGAAAGAAAACTCATCATCATGAATAAGTTTACGAATCTGTGGCCCAACAAAGTTGTAATGTCCTTCATTTATTTTTGAAGAATAAGTGCTGGGAATTTTGCTAAAACTTGAAAATTGCATAAAGCTTTAAAAAAAATGCTGATTTATCTTTTCAAAACAACCTTGTGTCCTATTGCCTTAATTCAATTGTTTCTGTGTCCCCCATGACTGACATGGCCAGTCTCTTTTGGCATAGTGCATTTCTCTTGCACGACTGTCCCACCTCCAGAGGAAGCAGAACTTAGTATATCCACCTTGGGATCATCAGGTCACCACAAATCCCATTGATGTTCATCATAGTTTGCCCAAACTCAGTTTTTCATAC